ATAAAGACCAACTTTATAGGCTCCAGACACTAAACTCTAGAGGCCGTAGGACTGTGTGAGCATTAAACTCCATAACGAGGCTCACAGAGCAACGATCGGACGCAGAAAGCTGCAGAAATAACTGTTTTTGTGGCTTATTTTGACTGGTTTTTGTGGTTCTGTGTCCTCATTTTTTGGGACAGAAATCCAGAGAAAGCTGCAAAAGCACTCCAGTGAAATGTGAAATGTTCATATGCAACTGGAGGTTTTGTGAAGTCTCTGTGATCAGCTGCATTTAGGGGTAACAGGATGTTTTAACATGATGTTTCCCGTTCCCACAAGCCTGAGAGAAAAGCCTCAAGTTGGGTTCGGATGGACGAAGATCTCAGGATTTATGACATTCTTTCATTTTCAAATACAAATGTTAAGCAAAATAGTACAAAAAACACGAAGTTCTCCTGATGTTTGGGCTGTTTCTGATGAGGACTTCGTTTGTTTAAGAGCCGGAGAAGGTTTAAATCATGTAGAGATACTCTGGTTTTGACGGTCAAATTAAAATATTGAATTAGATTGATTCATTCAGTTTTCTATCGAATGTCACCAAGTTGTAGCATCATGTGTGATATATTCCAGAGGTTTGTTTTTGGACCCGTTTAGGGAACAAATAGTACTAAAAAGTCAGAAGAGCCCAAAAAAACAAGTTCTCTTGATGTTTGGGCTGTTTCTGATGAGGTTTATGTTCGTTTAAGAGCCAGAGCAGCTTTAAATAATGTAGAGATACTCTGATTTTGACGGGCAAATGAAAATATTTAGTTATTTAATTAGATTTGTTCATTCAGTTTTCTATCGAATGTCACCAGGTTGTAGCATCGTGTATTCCAGAGGTTTGTTTTTGGACCCGTTTAGGGAACAAATAGTACTAAAAAGTCAGAAAAGCCCTAAAAACACGAAGTTCTCCTGAAGTTTGGGCTGTTTCTGATGAGGACTACATTCGTTTAAGAGCCAAAGCAGCTTTAAATAATGTAAATTTACTTTCGTTTTGACGGTCAAATGGATATTTATTTATTTAATTAGATTCATTCATTCATTTTTCTATCGAATGTCAACAGGTTGTAGCATCGTGTGTTCCAGAGGTTTGTTTTTGGACCCGTTTAGGGGCGGTGTCCTGAACAATGGCCCTGCTGAGCCTCATTAGAGCAGGTTTCAGGAGTCACATGACCACAGAAAAACGCCGTTTCAGAGCTTTTCCACTTAGTCCACCGAGGAAAACAGCAAATCTTTTTAGAGCAGGAATTTCACTTCAAAAGTGGGTGTCGTCCGTGTGTGTGTGTGTGTGTGTGTGTGTGTGTGTGTGTGTGTGTTACTTCTGTGTCGATTATAACCCCGTTTTCCTTTCATAGTTGCCACCTTCCCTCTTTGTGTTGTTTTCTTTCAAGTCGAGCGTTCAGAAAAAAATCTATTTCTTCCTCTCTGGTGCCTCCCTGTTTGTGTTTTCCTGCTTTCTTTCCTGGTCCACTGTGTTGGGTTGAGATGTGGGTTGGATAGTGGAGTGTGTTCACAATAGGGTTGCCACGATAGATCCTGCCTTTCACTCTTTAAACCTGTTTTTTATTTATTTATTTATTTTTCCAGCCACTTTATTCTCTCCAAAATGGCCGCCTGATTATATTCCCATGCTCCTCTTATCTTTTTGTATGCGTAATGCTTTTATTTGTGTCTGAACTAATATGAGTCTGTATTGGAGGACTGGATAATCGATTTTTTTTAGAGAAAAGTACCTTTAAAGCCCCTTGCTGACCCCTGTTCTGTCCCCCCAGAGCTTCCAGGCCACGTCATGCCCAGCAGAATGCACTCATTGTTCAGGGGTGTTTTTTTAATGGAAACATCCCTCTCAGTGCAGATCCCAGTCAGAGCCCCCCCCCCAGCCTTTGTTCCAACACAGGGGGGGGG